GGGATCATGACCTGAGCCGAAGGCAGACGCTTAACCATCTGAGCCACCCAGGCGCCCCGGCTTCTGCACTTTTAAAGGAAAACACTTGAGATATCACGAGTAAATAGCTTTGTTAAAGTGTTTAAAAATTACTATGTGTAAGCATTTATCCATAAACATAGATTTAATGCGTGTGGCGGGTCACACGGTAAAGCATTTTTAACTGTGAGTCTCAGAAAAGCTTGAAAGACACGATCGTGGAGGAGCTTTTTCAAAATGTGGGGGAAGAGGGTGAAGGATACACGGTACCTCCCTATACTGCCTTTGTAACTTGCTGTGATGTTATAATTATTTAAATATGAAAAGTTAAAAGGGAGGGGATTAGCCTCAGAACCCGGTTGCCTGGAATGATGTTCGACTTCTTCTCTGGCCTTTCTCGAGGTCCACGTGAATGAGTCTGCGCTCAGGTTTGGGAGTCCTTCGCCGGGACCCCTGACTCCAGCAGCGGGCTCGCCCCTCCGACCTGAGGGTTCCCGTGGGATCCGCTCCAGAGTAGCGCCTCACCCTCAGCAGCGCTCGCCATTTCTTGCCTCCGGCCCCAGGAGCCAGAGGGCGTCCATCGAGGCGCGCGGTCCTCCGAGCCTCCTAGAGCGGCACTGCGGCCCGTTTCCGGGGGCGGGCCGGAAGCGGACTGCCTGCGCCCCGGCGCAGGTCCCTCGCGGTCCCGTATGGCGGCCTGGGATGAGTAGGCTCTGGCCGTGGGGCGGGGAGCGGAGTAGGGTGAGTGCGGTTCTCCGATCCCGGCCTGGCAGAGGCAGTGGTCCCCAGAGAGGCCGCGCCGAGCACCGCAGGGGGTGCTGACCCGCAGCCGGCGCCGCCCCTCGCTTTTCCTTCGGTTCTGGGCCTTAGGGAGGGTCCGGGTTCCCGTCCCCCCAGACTGGGGCGGGAGGCGTGCGGGCCGGGTCCCGAGCCTTGCGTCCCCGGAGCCTGGGTGGCTGCGCAAAGCTGAGGCTGCAGGGGTGGGACATCTGGAAGGACCAGTTCTGTCCGAGTTGCGCCCCCCTCGTCCTCACGCCTGCGGTTGCCGGAGCGCACCCGCTCGGGAGCAGCAGCTGCTGGCTGGCTGGCTGGTGCGCGGCCTCTCCCGGGGGGTTGCGTCGTAGATTGGACCGCAGGCATTCCGTAGGCAGCATGGAGTACTTACCGTGTCCGGAGGACCCTGCTGGTGCTCGGGATACCGCAGTGAACGGGCAACGTCCCTGGCTTCAGGGAGCATATAATGCAATAGAAGTGAGGCGTTCATGTAATAGAGGCAACAAACGAGCAAGAAAGTAGTTTTTATCACTGCAAGGGCCCTGAGGAAAATGCGCCAAGAGGATAGGCTCGTGGGAGATGAAGTCTCTTCCAGAAGTTAACATATGAACTGAAACCTGATGGCTGAGAAGCCTTGCTAATCCCTTGTAGGCGAAGGAAAGTGCACGAGAATGGCCTTGGCTAGTTGAGTAACAGAGAGAACACCAGTCTGGCTGCAGTGTAGTAAGCAAGGGGGTGGGTGAAGGAGTGGGGCAAGTGCCCCAGGCCCCTGAGAAACAGAGGTTTTATTCTAAGTCGGAGGGAAAGAATGGCTTCTGCTGGTCCTCCAGGCCCCAATTAAGTGTAATCCCCCCAGGAAGGCTTCCCTGATCCCCCATCTAAGTTAGCACTCCCCTCCCCTTGATATTTTCTCTCTCAGGACTCTGAGCAGAAACCTGGTCTGTTTTGTTATCATTATATCCCCTGCTTCACTTTTTTCAACTCAGCACTGTTTTTCTCTGATTAAAGACTTACTCCCTGGTTCCAAAGTTAGGACCAAACTTAGGGTTGGTTTTTTTTCCCTCTAACCAGAGGGCCCTTCCCTGAGGACATGCATTCCCCAGATATGAGCAAACGAAGACCAGCATGGTAACTTCCCCTCCTAACTGTGAAGTTGAGGGCCAGGTCTTCTCCTGAGCTGCTCATCCTCTCGAGAGGCTCTGGTTGCCTCGTTGGGGTGAGGACAGTAGATCTGTCAGCAGGGGCAGCAGCAATGGTCCCCGCAGGTCCTGCCCACAGACTGCCCTGAACAGACAGCTCAGTGGGTGGTGGTGTGGCTCTGATCTTTGCATTTGCAGTTAATGCTGTCCAGGCACGGTGACCCACCAAGCCTCTCAGATCATCGTGTGTACCCTGTTATACTCTCACATGTTTAAAGGGCTCTTCTGCTGACTGTGACATAGCATCATAACTACAGGATTCTGTTAACTGATGTCTACTTTACAAAGTGGCAGCTATTTAGGAGGCTCAAGCCCCACAGAAAATGGTACTGCAGAGACCTCTCCCCAACCACAAGAGCTCAAGTATCCATTGAGGAAGGGACATGGAGACCAGGGCCTACTCTGAACAGAATTGTATTTATCGGTTTTTAAATAACTTTTCTCCAACTGAAACACACATTTGTAAATAAGCAATAAGTCTTGGAGAAGTCAGAAAAATGGAAAGAAGGAAAATAAGAACCACCCAGAAAGGAACTAAGGTTAATGTGCTGGGGTGTGTGCTGCGTATAGTCCGCTTGTTCCACATAGTAATGCAGCAAGAACGTTTTCTGATGTTCCACAACGTGATCTCACTGGTTGCAGAATCACCCACTCTCATGGAACCACTCATTCATTCCACAGACCCTTGCTGAGCACATGCCGTGTGTCGGGCCCTCCCCCAGGCTCTGGGGTTACAGCATGAATAACCAGACTGCAGGTCTTATCTCATGGGGGAAGGCGGAGAAGAAGCAAGTAAGTTGACTGCATTATGTCAGATAACAGAGGTGCTGTGAAGAAAAATACAACAGGGAGTGAGGGTAGGGAAGGAATTCTGGGGTGGGGGTGGCATTTTGTATAGGTTGGTCTGGGAAGACATCCCTGGGAAAAGCAGGAGTGAGGGGTGGAGCCGTGTGGGTGGGCAGGTCTCACGGTGTGGCTTCTTGGGATGTGAGGGGATCATCTGGGCTGACCAGGTGTGTTTGCCCCATGTCTCACCCTTTCCTGTCTCTTCTGTATCTGGGTGGTCCTTCTGGGGGGATGGACAGGGGTGGATGGTACTTGGGCCTGGGCTCCTTCCACTCAACACTCACTGTCCCCAGCGCCTGCTCTTCCCCTGACAGGGACCCTGGAATGGCGGGGCCACTTGCGACGCCCACACTCCAGGTGAGTGCCCTCTTTGGCATTTTGGCTGCCTTCATCCCCACCCCTCAGCTTTGCAGCCCTGAGCACCTTCCTGGGGGTCCCTAGGCCCACTCATGTAGCTGCCATTTCTGCAGGTGAGTCACAGGATGGATTCTGTAAGCCAAGGGTCTGCCCCCTTCCTGTGAAACTTCACAGTGCTCTGTCAACTCCTTCCTGAGGCTTTGGGTGGAAGTGGGCTGCCCGGGATCTCCTGCAGCCCTTGAGCTTCCAGGGTCAGCGAGCAAGGTCAGGATCCCTGTCCCTCCCCAGCACCTGCCTCCATCCTGGTGCGAATGTTCAGCCCTTCTTCGTGCACACAGCCTTTGGCTTCTCTCCTCAGATCAGAGAAGCAGAGGACAGGACAGGAACACTCCCCACCAGTGTAGAGGCTCGACCACCAACATCTCAAGGGTATCCCCCTCCCCAGATCCCTGTTAGCCTATGGAGAGGTATGAGGCCAAGGTTGAGACCCCCACACCTCCCACGGCTTTAGGGCAATAGGACTGCTCCACTTCCCTTGGGGAGTGTTGAGGTGTCCCCTCTGTGCCAGGCATTGGGGATGCAGCAGTGACCACGTAGACAGAGGCCTTGACTCCCAGAGCTGAACAGGTGTCCTGAATATCCCTGACACGGTCTCTGCATCTCCTGCCCAGATAGCCCCAGACAGCAGGGTTTGTGGTTGCAGGAGGCCATTGTGTTTGAGGACGTGGCCGTGTACTTCACAAGGATAGAGTGGAGTTGCCTGGCCCCCCACCAGCGGGCGCTGTACAGGGATGTGATGCTGGAGAACTACGGGCACATGGCCTCGCTGGGTGAGGCTTCCCCATCCATCCCGGGGCTGGGCTCAAGGGCAACCCTGCCTCTTCCATGGCCTCTTGGAGGAGTTGGTTCCTTTCCAGATTCAAAGTCCAACATGTTTGGAGGGGAAGCTGGAGGGTTGCCCCCATCTCTCCGTGGCCACCCAACTGCCCCACTCCTGGGGAAGTAGGGTTCCCAATCCATTCCAAGCACCATGTGTCCCCTGAGGCCTCCAGCCCCACAGCTGGGCACCCTTCTGCTCCCTGACACGTGATGCTCTCCTCCCTGCGTGTAGGCTTTCTTGTTGCTAAACCAGCACTGATCTCCCTCTTGGAGCAAGGGGAAGAGCCAGGGGCTTTGATTCTGCAGGGGACTGAGGAGCAAGGGTCCACAGCCAGCCTGTGTCCAGGTAAGTGCAAGGCAAAGCAAGGCCTAGCCTTCACACAACTTTTTGTAGCCCCCTGGTGCTTGAGCAGTGGGAAGGCTGTACATTTAGCTCCTCACAGAAGGGCCAAATTTCCTGCTAAACGCCTTGCTTGTCGTCCAAGGTCACCCAGGACTAACTCGTGCAAGGAACCCAAGTGCATGAATGTCCTTCCCAGTCCTCTGAGATGTCGGGCCAGATCTGTGGGGGCAGTGGGGGTGTGAGGAGGACCCAGCAGGGAAGACCCTTGAGCTACTTTGGTTCTCCCAGCTCCCCATGGCTCACAAACCAGGGCCTGACCTTGGGACTGCAGAGGCTGCAGGAAGGGAGGAGAGGCAGCCTGCGGTCCATGGGTCCTGCTTGGGCAGGAGCCTGAGGTGTCTGCTGAGTGAATGAACTGTGGGTGAGTGCTCAGAGGAAGAGGGGAGTGAAGGATAGCAGCACCCCACACCCTGCAGGTCTCACTCCAGCATCAAGCCTGCTCCCCTCACAGTCCTTTGGACCAAGCCTGTGCCCTCCCTTCTCCCCCTGATGTTCCTCCCCTTTCGTGAACTCCTCTCCCAAGCCTACTTCCCACAGTGCTTAAGCCCTTATTAACTTGCCTTTAGGTCCTCTTTCTTACACAAATCCTGATTTTACAGATTCTTGGAAGAAGTTCCCAGACCTCCCTACTTTGATGTAAAGATTCTGTCTTCAAATCTCGGAGTTTCTTTAAGGAATATAGAGGCTAGGGCATCTTTCCATTTTCTGTTCATTCTTCCAGATTCTAGGATGCAGGCTGGGGTCAAGGAATCTTGTCTGAGGAGAGTGTCCTCTAAGCAGTTAGGACCACTGGGCACGGTTTGGGGGCGCCTCCCTGGGGGAAGGCCCAAGTTTCCTGAACGGAATGGCAGTCCTGAGGATGGGTCAGATAAACGACTCCTCAACCCCAAGAGGGGCGGGCCTGGTGGGGACCTCAGCACATCCCCCGCGGCCCGGGAGGAGAAGCGGCAAGGCTTGGGCCCCGCAGATGCTGGAGGGGAGAGGGCGGACCGGTGTGCCTGCGGCAAGGGCTTCAAGTACGACTGGCTGCTGCTCAGGCACCAGGTCATCCACACGGGGGCCAAGCCCTACCAGCGCACCGAGTGCAGCAAGGCCTTCAAGCAGAGCTCCATCCTCCTGAGGCACCAGCTGATCCACACGGGGGAGAAGCCCCACCAGTACGGCGAGTGCGGGAAGGCCTTCGGCCGCAGGTTCACCCTCAGTGAGCACTGCCGCATCCACAGCGGGGAGAGGCCTTACACGTGCCTGCAGTGCGGGCAGCGCTTCATCCGTGGGTCCTCGCTGCTCAAGCACCACAGACTGCATGCCCCGGAGAGCCCCCAAGAAGACAGCGGCTGTCAGAAGCCCCTGCTCAGCGCGGCACAAAAGACCACCTCCGGGGACAGGATCTACCAGTGCTCCGTGTGCCAGAAGCCCTTCCAACACAACTCCTTGCTCCTCCTGCACCAGAGGCTGCATACGGGTGAGAAGCCGTTCGAGTGCAGGGAATGTGGCAAAGCCTTCAGCCGAAGTCCAACCTCACGCTGCACCAGAAGACCCACACCAAGGAGAAGCCCTTTGCCTGCACGGAGTGTGGCAAGGCTTTCCGCAGGAGCTACACACTGAACGAGCACTACCGGCTCCACAGCGGGGACAGGCCGTACCGCTGCCAGGCCTGCGGGAGGGCCTGCAGCCGGCTGTCCGCCCTCATCCAGCACCAGAAAGTCCGCGGCCCAGAGTGTGCCTGGGAGGGCGGGAAGGACAGACGGCTTCCCCACTGGGCTCCCCACTGAGTTGATAAACATCAGAGAACCTGGGGTGCCTGTGTGGCTCTGTTAGTTGAGCGTCCGACTCTTGATTGTGGCTCAAATCATGATCTCAGGGTCGTGAGATCGAGTCCTGCGTCAGGCTCCGCCCTGGGCGTGGAGTCTGCAGGAGATTCTCTCTCCTTCTCTAAACAACAACATAAAAAGGCAGAGAACCTATCTGGGGGAGGCGCCAAAGCAGAAAGCTGTCAGTCCTCCCCGTTTGGCTATACAGCTGGGCATTTCTCTTGGCCGGAGAAGGGACAGGGCCGGGGCTGTGGTCAAGCAGCCTGCAGGCTGAGGGAAGGACAGTGAGGAAGGCTGAGCCAGAGTGGGGACTCCCCATGGCTGTCGAGCCTGGATGTCCACCGCAGAGCAGCATTTCTAAACCATCCCGGTCTGTGCTTGGATCTACACACAGGCTTCAATAAATCACATGGGGATTGTGGGTGGGTTTTGTTTTCTTTTTCCACTCATCTGTTTTCCAAATACTGACTTTTGATCAGGGGGAAAAAAAAAAGGAAAAGATATGTCGGCTTTTTTTGGTTGTTCATTTGTTATTAGGACTGATGAAGATCAGACCCTGTTTGCAGGGGCCCCGGCCACCTAGTGGGAAGGAGGGGCCGGGACTAGAATCCACACAGCGTCTGGCCGGGGGATGTTTGGGATTCTCAGGTGGACCAAGGGTTTGTCAGCAAGCCAGGGCAAGGCTGGAGGGTAGTGGTGGCTAAAGCCAGGACTTGGGAGCAGGGTCTCGGGAGCCCCAGCCAGGCCGAGTGTGATCTGCCTTCACCAGGCCTGTCAGCAGAAGGTGCTCACTGGGGAGGAGCCTCCTGGGGTCTCTTAGTGACCCCTCTTCTTCATCAGCCCCCCACCCCAGGAACCCTGAGAATGCTGGCAGGCATCTGCAGCGTCTTACAAAAGGTGTGCCAGAAAGGAAGCCGCCAGTCCCAAGCAGAGCTGAAGACCTGAATAATGAATGTGTATTTTCTGATCAACATTTTTTCCTACGTATAAATCCCGATTCCGGGCTCGATCCCAGGACCCTGGGATCATGACCTGAGCTGAAGGCAGACACTTAACGACTGAGCCACCCAGGCGCCCCTTTTTAAAGGATTTTAAAAAGAGCAGGGGGAGGGGCAGAGACCGAGGGACAGAATCTCAAGCAGACTCCCAGCTGAGTAGGAAGTGACATGGGGCTCGATCCCAGGACTCCAAGGTCATGACATGAGCCACCCAGCCACTCCTCTTAGCTTCTTTCTAGTGCACACATGTGAATATTTGTTTGACAAATTGGGGTATACTTTGCTCAGAACTGTGTACCTCCTGGTTGGATGCTGCCCATGCACCGGCCAGTTTGTGTGGTTTATTTAGCAGCCCCCTACTGTCGCTCGTCTGTCTTTCCCCACATTTTCACTGTTACTGTTGACCCCACAGTAGACATGCACACATTTGCTTTTGTCCATGTGACTTCCTTGGGGCTGAGGTGGACGTTCCCTGTCGGGGGTGCTGGGAGTAGGGGGCACTGTTTTTAATCATTTGATTCATCATGAAAAATACCACTCTTGTTTTCATTTACATTTCTTTTTTTTTTAAGATTTTATTTATTTGGCAGAGAGAGACACAGCAAGAGAGGGAACACAAGCAGGGGGGAGTGGGAGAGGGAGAAGCAGGCTTCCCGCCGAGGAGCAAGCCCGACTCGGGGCTTGATCCCAGAACCCCGGGACCCCAGGACCATGACCCAAGCCGAAGGCAGACGTCCAACGACTGAACCACCCAGGAGCCCCTTCTTTTACATTTCTTGGCCTTTTAATGAATAAATTCCCTGTAAGCTCTTGTACCTGTTTTTATTGGGTTTGTAAGCCTCTGTTGAGCTCCAAGCCCTTTCTCTTACTGTTTCTTCCATTGTGATACAAACCTCCAGTTTTTTTGGTGGCTGGTGAGCGTGGGAGAGATGAGAGGGAAACTCTTAGAATTGAGGAAGTGAATTACAAATATTTTTTTCTAGTTCTTTATTTGCTTTTAGTTATGAGGTGTTTGTTTGGTTTTTTTAAAGATTTTATTTATTTGACAGAGACACAGTGAGAGAGGGAACACGAGCAGGGGGAGTGGGAGAGGGAGAAGCAGACTTACCGCGAGCAGGGAGCCTGATGTGGGGCTCGATCCCAGGACCCTGGGATCATGACCTGAGCCGAAGGCAGACGCTTAACGACTGAGCGGCCCAGGTGCCCTAGTTATGAGGTTTTTAATATGAAAAATACATGTCCCCTATGGCCAAAACTATCTTGTCCTGTTGTGATAAGAAAGGCCTTCTCCACCCAAGATTTTATAAAACATTTTTTTTAGGGGCATCTGAGTGGCTCAGTGGTTGAACGCCCGGCTCTTGATTTCAGCTCAGGTCATGATCTCAGGGTGGTGAGCTCGAGCCCTGCATCAGGCTCTGTGCTCAGTGGGGAGTCTCCTTGGGATGCTCTCTCCCTCTGTCCCTACCCATGCTCACGTGCTCTCTCTCTAAATAAATAAATACATAAATAAAACCTTTAAAACATTTTCTTTACTTTGGTTAAATTACTGAAATAATACATATTTGTAATAAAACAACAAAATCTCAACACAAAAATAGGAAACAAAACCCCCTCTCTTCCCTTATCCCACATTCTCATCTTACTCCCAGACATACACCTGCTAAGTTTGTAGTTCATTCCAGATCTTTTTCTCTGCATTTCAAATGTTCAGCATATGTGTCCATGTTTTCACAAACAGGATTATCCTACTAGTGTGTGCAATGACTTTTGATGTGTCCACTCACTGGGCTGAACTCTCAGAATTTCTTTCTTTTTTTTTTTTTTTTAAAGATTTTATTTATTTATTTGAGACAGAGAGAATGAGAGACAGAGAGCACGAGAGG